TGCTGAGCAATTGAATTTTGTTGCAAAAGCATGTCACTTGTTTGGGGGTTGACAAGCAATAGAAGGTCCTCAAACAACTTGTGGTTGACTGTGGATTAGGGAAGGTCACAATCAGAGATAAAATAACAAATGGAGGTTTTGAGAATCTGAATGTTGGGTTCTTCCTATCCATCACAAAGAAAAAGCGAACTGCCTAAAAAAATGAACAAAACTTATACAAATGAATACAGAAATACACTCACCACCTCTCTGATCTTGCCTTTCTTGAAGTAACCAATGGCAGAAGATCTTTTCTTAACTGGACCATCCTCAGAAATATTATGCTTAGATTTCAGGTGAGCCGCCATTGATTTAGTATGTCCAGTTGCAGCCTCCTTCATCATCTTACCACATACTCTTCCTGTTTTTGGATCAAGTAATTTGCAGTGGTGTTGACCATCACCTTGTCTATTGTCTGAGACATCTTGAACTGGGAATGGGGATGGAGAGAATCAAGAATTTTGTGTTAAAAAATAAAAAACAAAAAAAAAGAATTGAGAATGTCATTTTTTTAAAAAAAGGAGGGAGACATAAGCATTTTGATAGGGGCCCGCGGGGTTTTTGGGCCCCCATACATTTTGGGGTGCCCTGGGTCATTTGGGTTTGGGGGCGAGGACAGCTATGAGGGCGGGGTGGGTTTGGGCTAGGGGCGGGTTTGGGGGCAGGGGGCTTCTCCTCACCCATGTTGTTCAGGTCAAGGCTTGGCCTGATGCATGGCCCTTCAAATTCTCTGGAAATGTTTGGCACAAAATCCAAGTGATTTTGGTTAAAAAAGGTGCACCTGTCCTCATATTTCAAGTTGCAGCTAGGTAATCAGTGCAAAGCAAAGACACGTGAAAGTCATCCAAGATGAATTTTACACTTCTTGGGTGCTTGTCTCTGTCCCACCTAAACACCAACATATATGTCTACAATAAGGTGTTGTTGAAAGAATATTTGTGCATGGTTGTACATTGTGAGGATTTTTTCCTAGTGGGATTTGGTTTCTTGGTGATGTGTTCCCCATTTTTTCATCATATTCATTTCATGTGTCAGAATATGGCCTGCAGAGCTCATACTGCTTCCATCTTACTTAGATATTTTTACCAGCTGGTTTTTGAAGGTTTTGATTCTGTTACAATATTTTATTTTCTTGGTTTTTTGAAGAGAAGAAAGGAATTGTTTTATCATTGAACTATCTATACTGACCAAGCCTACTTGTGGTTAATCTGTTCACACTCTCAAACCATGTCTTGGTATTGATAATTTTCATCTTTCTCACAAAGTTCTTGCCTAATTGTTTATTGTACAAGTAGATGCAGAAAAGATACAACACCCTTGGGGCCAAAAGATCACTACAGCATATTTAGTGTGAGCCAGTCTGGCCCCAGGGGTGACATATACTTTCTGTTTCTACTTGTAAAGCCGTCTCAAGAAAGATTGACATTTTTTTGTGGAGAAAGCTGGAGAAAGTTATCTCTGCAGCCGCCAAAATCAGAGAAAAAAATTACAGGTTTTGTATTCTTCCAACTAGCAGACAGACAAAACAAAGTGAGTGACAAAACCCGGGTTTTGCACATTGACAAGACTTTCAAAAAAAAACAATCTTTGTTGAAATGTCTTTACATTTAGTTGACTATTTTGAGTTTTCTTCCTGAGTTAGTGTGGCTTGCTATATGCAGTCAATAAAGTTGTTCCTGTATCTATCTTCGAAGTTGGCACAAGGTGTTAACCAAGTGGAATATGCAAGGAGGGGAGTGTCACACAAGCAACAGGTGTCACGTGTAAAAATCCAATCTGTGAGGAGGAGCAACAAAATGGCCCCTTGACAGATCACCCCAAGGAGTATGTCGAACCTCTGCTAACATCGAGGCACCAGGACCTAGTTGTTTGCTCCATCCTCTGCCTCCATCCTTTGTACTCGACTCAGTTGTATTCAAAAGTTCAATAAAATAACAAAGTCATAAACTCCTACCAATAATTCACTTATTCATTATTATTCAAGTTTATAGCGTGTTAATTTCCTTTTAGTCTATCATCTTTTGAGTTATTTTTTATTTCCCGCCCACCACCCGTCCTGTCAGACAGAGGGTTAAAGTTTCAAGTGGTGCAACATTGTTATAAGCAGTTATCTTCATTTCTTTCGACGGAGCGGGGAGCATCCCAGTGGGATGGCTCAGCGCCAGACAGGCCACCCACAGTGCTCCCGATCATTTCTACTCCGGGCCAACCATGCAATTCCAGGCCCCGGGCCACCATGCGTAAATCAGGTGACCGTTGCTCACAGCCCTCCAGCTGATTCCTCTTTTGTCATTTCTGCTATACCTCAGAGTGCTCTATTCCTCAATAGACCTAGATTATGTAACAAAGCTGCTTTTTATTTTGTTTGCTCGTGCTCAAAATTAGGGAGATTGCAGCGTACACTTTTTAAGCAGTTAAGTTTTATTTGCCTAGCATTGCCTCTGGCCTCTCCATAGAGATTTTGTGTTTTGTCAGTTGTCAAGTCCACTCGTCAGGTTCATGCGGTACGAGCCCTGTTTAACTTTCTTGTGCTAGCCATTTGTGATAAGCACTCCCAACACCTCTGTGGCCCTGCATCTCCACAAAGAGTTCCTTGCAACATGTACTACTTTGAGTGTTTATGTCAAACTTAAAGTCAATCACCAATATTTGAGACAACTTTGAATACAAACTTGCATTCATGTTAGTTTTCTTGGAATAGCTCATGAAAGAGTTTCTGAGAAATAGCGTATCCACAAGAAATTTGATGTCTCTTGCTATGAATCTATCATTTCACTACTTGACACGTTCCACAAGAAGGTATCGAACATGAATATTTACGGTACTCAAAGTTGTGTATACTTTGCCGTGTATAGTTTTTGTTTTCTTTTTCACAACTACACACGACCAGGAAAAACTATGTTTCTGGCTCAGAAGTACATATTTTTGAGCTTTGAACAAAAGACATACTTTTTCCGGGTTGTGTCTAGCTTCAAAAAAACAAAAAAAAACTATACACGGCAAAGTATACACAACTTTGAGTACCGTAATTTTCTATATCTTATAACAGGTTTCACAATGTAAAAAGGAAGAAGACAGACTATGAATCAAAATGGTCTTCAGATTGGATAATTTGTTATACCATAATAAAATGTCAATACTTTGGAAAGACAATGACACCAAGACATATTGAGACATTGATAGCTCTTGTAATGAAATTTCAGCTTGCCTTTTAGTCACTTTTCATGCCAAATGTTTTGTTTTGTTCCGCAATTTTTTTCGCTTAAGAAATGAGGTGATACCACTGCCGTAGAGATATCTCCCTATAAAATTACTTCAGCTCATAGAATAATCAAGCTTCATTGAGATGACAGGGCTCTGTCTTTATCAAAAATCTATATTTTTGATCCATAATATGCACTTCAGTAGCAATATGCCTTCAGTCTGAAAGGCACATAAATCCTGTGATATACTTCATATGCTACCTTCAACACAGCGGTGATCGCGGGTTGACGTGGTCTCCAAGGAAAGCCTGCCGTTTGAGGAAGATAGTTAAGCTAGGTTTAGATGTACGTCTGGAAGGAAGAATCGAAAGCTTTGACTACAAGGTGGACTCTTCCCTCAATCGGGTCTAAGCAAAGCCATAGAAGTCTCCAAGAAAATTGTTTGTCTCTGTTGATCAAAAGTGATCTACACTCACAAAAGCTGCAGCTTAAGCTCCTTCAAACAAACCCCTGGATGTCCCTTTTCTCGACCAGAGAATAAGTATGCGCTTCGATTAAATATTTTCGACGTTAGGCATGAGGGTGCCCGGTGAGTTCCAATGAAAACGCAGTCTCAAGCGCAAACTGAGGCCATCAAGAAATATCATCTTACGGGCTCCTCGCTCTGACGCCATTGACAAGGTATTCCTCTCAGCTAGAGACCATTGGGGCCATGACCTATTTGGTGATATGTCTATGATGGCAGATATCAACGTTGATCGTAAGCGCAGATATGTACGGGTACGTAAGGGTACGTACGAAGACACAAAACGTATGGCCCGCCGGTTTAACGCAGGCAGGTGCACCGGGAAGTCTATCTCTTGATCCTACAAGTTTCAAAGTCTCGGGTCAATTCCGGTCAATCACTAGATAACAATTTTAATCCTCGTTTTTACAACTATAGTGGGAGCTAAGATTCGAGAGCGCGCAGGCCTGAGTTTACAGGGTATCTCTTAGATCTTCTGATGACTCTTACAAGTTTCATTCCATTCAATTTTTTTTTGGCTTTCTATATACCCCTTTTCCACATATTTTGAAACAGTTACTTCAAGAGACACGTATATGTAGGATGATGATGACAATTATAGAGCACGTTATCTTTTGAATTCATGACGTCATATCATCGGGGACTTATTCTACTTCTCCTTGTGGGTGTGGCTTTTTGAGTTGATCAATCAGGAGCCTTTGCAAAGGCAATTTTGCGATCAACGGCAGGAAGGGAGGCATCGGGTGCAGACGTAACAATATTAAGATTACGACGCAGTCAGCGTGATAACCCGTACTTCTACACCCTCTCTTTTCCTAGCGGGTCTCCTCAACTCACAATGAACCTACGTATTCGAAACGTGTGTGTCTTCGGCAAGATCAATTCTTGAATCGAGAACTCTATAGTTTGAATTGGTCAAGTTTGGAATTCTATCATCAATTGATTACTCTCCTTACTGCATCGCAGCGACGATTGTTATTTATCGTAACATGAGCCCCCCCATTAAGTTTTTGCTTGCGTACCACCCAGACCAATCAACGTGACGGTCAGCTTGCATGAATTGACCTTCAAGTTCGATGTCTGCAGAATAATTTGCTCGGTAAAAAAATCAACTGTTATTCTGCGGTAGTCAGAGGGTATGTTGAAAATCAATGCAACAACATTCAGGATTGTCGTAACTGACTGAAACCCATCTTATGCTCTTCAGTTGTCTCGACTTTTTTTGTTGAGAAATGACGTTTCTGGACCTCAACGGAGGAGTAAAGAGGATTTTGATCGCCATTGTTAGCCCATCATCACAACCGACAACCCTCGTCACCTCGAGGCCTACTATCGTTATCGCTATTGAGTTAGGCTCTAAAGATGATGGAGTCGGTATCCGAATTGACTCCCTCTCTCTGAGACGGATCAAAGTAGGGCGCTACAGGGTACTCCTGGAGCTAACTGCGGTCGTCGCAGGCTACGTAATGACAATATATATTTCCGACATTCCGTCGCCTCGCAAATGTTGCTTGAAACGAAAATGCTTCTTCATGATCAAGCTGCGTAGGTGGTCTAGAGACCCAGACGAGGCCAACTGGTCCGAGGCTCTTACATCTTAGGAACCTATATATATAAAACAAGCGGCCCGGAGTACAGGCAAGATAAAACACTTCACTACTTCACTGGCTTGACACAATACCTCAACCTCATATGAATGTCTTTTTTTTCATACAGGTCGGAGCGAAGAGAAAAAAAGAGAGCTTTCCTCAATATGCCTGCTGCTGGGTCTAGAGGGATGACCGGGTTTCAAAGCTAGTAAATAGGCATACTGGATTCAAGCAACTGTCTGCTGGTCAATCTCCGCCTCCATTGGCCTATCGCCTTCATTGAATTCTATTGTTTCTATGATTTTAAGCTTATACCAATTCAACCAATAGTATATCCCAACCCTAGGCTCGAGGAAAAAAAGGGAAAGAAAGAAGAGAGAGACGAGTATACATAGCTATCGATTCTCTTGCTCGGGAGCGTACAACAATCCTAACGCCCAACCCCCATTCAGAGCTTCGGTTCCCTTGATCTGCGCTCCTTCGGTGTAGCGAAGTCAGAGCCATCTCTAATTTTACCTCTCTACCCCTTCTTCCGTTTTCACTGCTTCCTACATCCATAAATCCTCTCTTCTCCCTTTCTCCCTTCACCTTTAGCAATAAATCTCCCGACTCATCCTAACACACTTCGATTTGTGTGACCAAACCACAAACCCCCTTTATCTTCACACATCTAACTCGACTCCTTGTTTCTCTTACTCGCCCTCACTTCTTCCCTCATTTTTGCGTTTCTGTTTGTGCGAGCCAGAAAGGAGAAAGAGGAAGGTCGTTTTTTTCGTACTGACCCGTTGTTGCATACCCTGTCTTCTCAATTGTGTGAGTGCCACTCATTCTCTGCGATCACACAAAACTCGTTGGAACCTCTTCTGTTCCAAAGCGGTGAATAGCGCTTACAACCTGATCTGACGAGCATCATCGAGTATTTTTTCCGTCGTCTTCCTTTATTTGATTTGGGTGTGCGGGTCGCATAGGTCAGTTTTGGTTTTGAGTTTGGTTTCCAAATATCTTCCCTTTGTTGAACAGGAAGAAAAGGATCAGACATTGATTTTCGGCTCTCGTCTCCTCTTTCTTTCTTTTTATCCCTGGTACGTTTGATGTAGATTTCAAACGTACCCCGTCTCTAGTTCTGTCGAGTGGAAGTCTTTGAATCTCAAAACGTAAGAGCAAAGGAAAAGAGAAAAAAATAGTGTTTTGATTGAGCTGAGTTAGTCCTATGTGATTCCTGTGATCACCAGACGTCAAGAATTGTAAGCAAGTGAGAGTGTGGGTGAATCTTGCAGGTGAGTTCTACAAGATCCGTAACTGTTTCCGTTCTTCTTTTTCTTCGTTCTGTTTTGTTTGGGATGATTGTTTCGTTGTCATGTTGTGGTGTGGTTTTTCCGTTTGATGGTTGCAGGACATCTTGCTTGTAACACCATTCGACTCACACATGCCATCAGAAAGCACTGTGACTTTCACTCTGGATTTTGATCATCAGGGATATATCAATCCAGACCTCATGAAGTTCATATTCTGAGCGGAATGGAATTTGTTATAATAATATCATCACGTCAAATGATTTTAGTTAAAGTCAATGAATGTCAGGATGGATGATTATGTCTCGATAAAACCAGCTCTTCATTTCTCACAATTCCTTTGATTCCACATCTCACCTATAACCTCTTTTCTCTCTTGAACTTCTAGTAGTCGAAATGGCAAGGGATGTGAGACAGACTAAAGGTCTCATCTCAACCAATATAGCATATGATATCGTCTTATCATCACTTCATCATAAGCTTATCTTTTCGATAATCGTTGTGATTGTCATACAATCGCAATTGCAAATTCATCAGCAATGCGTCAAATTGCCCGATGTTCAATACAAATACGGAGCATTTTGACTTGAAAGTTGACTCTGTACATCGAACCGAGATGATTTGTATCATGTGTTTAAACGCACCTCAAGCTAATCCTCGCACGCACGTTGTCGAAAATTCGCCATCTTCTGTCTCTCTCTCTTGTCCTTTTGTTTCTTTCCGCCTTTTCAAAATCGATTTCTCAACTTCATCAAAGGCGGTTTCCGGATGAGCTGCAGACGTTCTTGCCATCCTCCTCGTGTTTGGGTTCACTTTTCCACCCATTCACCTTTTCATAGCACGATTGAAAAACGTCCGAATCATCTCTCCCTGAAACGACTCACACCGAAGGATAACTCAAATTGGACGAAGTGAGTGAGAGAGATCATCCCCACCAACTTATTCATCAAGAGAGCACATCTCCACCATACATTCAGATGCCCTCGTAAGCCGAAGCCAGTCCACACCGAGCTCTGCATTCAATGGGCGGCTTCACTCTGGTGGCGGTGGCTGTTTGACGTGGGTTGTCCTGGGACGTGAAGAACTTCGAGGGATGTGCGATCGCCAAATCTAACTTTTTTCTCAACTGCCACCATCACCATAGTTCTTGATCACAACATGTATCGTCCCTTGGACAACTTGTTCTTTCTTTTCGTATTCCCAATACTCAACAAATCGGAGTTCTTCCTTTCTGATGCGTCGAACTGACTTGATCCAGTTCTGATGACTCCCAATTTGACAACTTCTTTGACTACAACCGTTCTCTCCAATTATTCCTCATTCATTCTCTTCAATCTCTTCACTTGACTGTACTTCTGCTTCCGCTCATGTACCATTACCACCACCACTACTACTTCCTTCAGACCGTCTCCGAAGGAATTATGACTGATGAACTTTCGTATCTTCTTCTTCATCCTTCCTTTGAACTTGCTCATTCATCTCGCGCACTACCAAAACAACCATTCTCTCAACTTGACCCTATCGCAACAGCAACCGCAATAGCAACAGCAACCGCCACCACTGTCCCCACTTGAATACGTCAATCGTGGAAAGACAACCAGAACTGAATATTGAATTAATCGAGAACAAGACCCTGTCTTCATCTAGCCGGCCTCTCACCCTCGTGGACCTCAAACACTTTTCAACCCTCTTCCCTTGATCACATTGAGCAAGTGGACCTTAGCTCTGTAAGACACTTGCTTCATTCTCACTCTCCCATTCACCTTTCGCTTTACTTTTATTCGTTTTAATTTAGAGTAGCGTACTTTTTTATTTTCATACTTTTACTTACCTTGCTTCTTCGCTACTCTGCTTGCTTCTATCATTTATTGTGCATATTTGCTACTTTTATTTTTAAACTTCAACCATCATGTTACAAGCTTTACTGCATTTGGATCAGTCTTTTGCCAGCAACTTCAATAACAACATCAACAACAATATCATTTCATTATTTGATCACCACATGGCTGAATCACAGCAATTTTCCGGACCTACTCCGGTTCATGTCCTACCCGATGGTAATTACGCTCCACCGGTCTTTATGCCCGGAATTCCAAGTCAACAATCGATGCTCGAAGCTGTCGACAAACTCAAGTTTTTCCTCGCCACTGCGCCTGGTTCTTTTGATTCTTCACCTTACGACCCTAACGATCCCGTGGCAAGAGAAGAGCGTTGCCTGAATAGGTTTCAACTTCCAACTGGCGAACTCATCTCATGTGTATTGTGGAACGGTCTTTACCATGTTCGTCTACATTTTCTCTTGCCGATTCCCTTACATATCATTGAAATGTAAACTCATTCGTTTGTCCTTTATCTGTAGGTTTCCGGGACAGATATTGTGCGAGCACTACACTTTCGTTTCGCCGCTTTTGGACGACCAGTGCGAAATGCAAAGAAGTTCGAAGAAGGCATTTTCAGTGACTTGCGAAACCTAAAGAGTGGTACGGATGCCACGCTCGAAGAACCCAAGGTTTGTTTCTGCTTTCGCAGTCCAGAGATAATTCAATTTTCAATCGAAACACTTTGATGTACCAATACTTACCTTGTATTGCTTTGCGTTTTTTGCTCAGTCCGATTTTCTTGAACTCTTGTTCAAATACAATTGTATTCGAACGCAAAAGAAGCAGAAAGTCTTTTATTGGTTCAGCGTACCTCACGATCGTTTATTTTTGGACGCATTGGATCGAGATCTCAAGCGAGAGAAACTAGGTGTCGAGCCTACTACTGAGGCTGTTGCCGAACCTGCTTTAAGCTTTGTATATAACCCTAACAAAAGCTTGTTCGAACAATTCACCGAACAAAAGGCACTCGAAGAAGCTGACGCAGCTGCCCGCGAGTCTGAAAAGGCCACGGACGGTGCAGGTGTACCTGGTGGCGATGAGGTTAAACCACCTCCGGTAGTCGTCACTGAGCCCAGTGAAGGCTTGTACCGCAACAAACGAAGACCCTCACAAATCTCTACCTCTGTTGGAGGTCACCATGCGGCGGATCAATCCTCGGGTGCACTTCAGGAAGCTGATGGCTCCCAAGTTCTTCTTGTGCCACCCCCACCAAGCAACATGACCTATCGATCTCCTAGTGGTCTTAGTAGCATCGCATCTGGTGATGATTATCATCGCTCGCCGCCCCCCAGTCCCGCCACAACCATCTCGTCTTCCAAGATGGCACGCACATTCTCCGATCCTCAATCAAACTCGATCTTTGGTGCATTCTCTCTCTTTGAAGGTTCTCCGACATACAAGCAACGAAGGAAGCCAGGTCAAAAACGTCCAACCAAACGCCACGAGAGCTCACCTGGAATCGGATCACATTCTGCTTCGCCTATGCCTTGTTCGGAGCTTGATGACCCCTACCACTCTCGACCTTCCTCATCAGGTGGACTTGGTATTCCACCCCATATGCATGGTTCTTATGGAATGCATCACGAGGTTGGAAGGATGCGACATCCGACACTATCACCCCACCCACCACTCTCAGCCATGTCAAACGGAGGCGAGTTTGGTATTGGAGCTCATATCGATCCTCACTCGATCGAACACTCTGAACATCCCTCTATCCCCGGTACCAAAACTTATGTTTGTCCATTATTCTCTTGTGGCCGATTTTTCAAACGATTGGAACATCTTGTACGTATTCTAGTGTTTTTGTATCGTCTCAATGTTCTATACTCAATCTTCTCATGGCCGTCTTCCTTAGAAACGTCACTTGAGGATCCACACTAGTGAGAAGCCGTACCCTTGCACACACTGTGACAAGAGATTTGCGAGGTATGTCTTATTCCACTTGAATCACATTCCCTTCTCTGAATCAAGCTCATCTATGGTATTTGTACAGGAGTGACAACCTAGCTGCACACATCAAGATCCACGAGAAGATGGCAGCAAGAGCCGGATCAGCAAGCTCTTCTGATCAACGTGCACTCGAAGCCGAAGAGGAGTTGGATGACCGAATGACCAATCTCTTGGAGTCCATGGAGCATGTAGAAGATACCTCTGAGCATGGTGGTGGTGGATCTCTTTCGCCGCCCAATGGAAGGGTCTCTGGCACTGGAGGGATGATCGCACAACAGCAACCACATCAACCAGCATACTATCCTTTTCAAGCACAAGGACTTCCGACACCACCTAGCGGAGGATACTCAGATCAATGGTCCGGATATCAGCAACATCCCTATGTACCCAACTCAGCCGGTCCTCCGATGATGACACCTGATCAGTCACCCGACCCACCATCAATGTACGGACTACACGGTAATAACCGACCTCATTCGATTGAAGGTAGCAACAGTTACGGCTTTGATGCCCGTCGGTTCCGATCCGCTACTCCGGCAAACGTTCGAAGTATTGATGGGTATGCACGACATTCATCAGCAGGCCCAAGGATCATACAAGAGGGTGGGAGTGTAGAATATCATGAAAACTCGGGAGGATCAGGTCCAGCGCCAGGAGGGCCGGGTGTATTCCAGGCTTCACTGAATATGGTCAATTCATTGAACGCTGAGATTGGTGGACAGCATCCTCAAATGTTTGAATTCTACGGTGGTAACGGTGGTAGTGGGAATCAAGTTCAAGGTCAAGCTCATCATGGTCATGACAACAACGGAATGCTTCCCCCTTCTAGACCTGCTTCCAGCTACACTCGACAGGGGCAACTATCGCCACAACTCATAGATGAATTCCATCAACCCCAACAGCCGCAGTCTCAACAGGGAACAGCAACTACGGTCTCGTATTAATACTTTTTTGTTTCTGATGCTATTAATTAATGTGTTTGCGTTGGGATTTTGTGTTTGGTTTTGGTGAAGGTTTTTTGTGTAAGTGTTTGAAGGAAAATGATACTGAATCAAAAAAAAACGTCGTAGATGAAGAAAAATATTCAATGATGTTGTTTTTGTGTTTATATGTGTTTATGTGGTGACTGCATTGTTCATATGTTTGTTTGTTAGTTTGTTTTTTGTCTTCTCATTGTTTTTATCATCAAAAAAGTTCCTTCTTACTTCTTTTTTTTCTCTTTCTTTGTGAATTGAATGGATTTGCAAATGGAAAACAGGGTTACATGTTAAATATTTTTTTGGTTTTTTGGTTCATTCGTTTGTTATTAATTTTTTCATTGTTTAAAAAGGAAAATAAAGAAAACATATACAAAAAAACTCATTCATCTACCATTGTTTTTTCTCTTTCTTTACACAATACTCTTTGGAAAATGGAAAGAAATTAATTACCTCATCACTCTTTCAATGCAAACTACATAACCTTGGGACTAACACCGCCATCCATAGATGCCGTTCTCATTTCTTGGAACAAGCTCAGAGGAACTCATAAAGTGAGAATGGGTAGAAGTTTTGTCCGTGTCGAAATCTCAAAAAGTCTGACTATTGGTAACCAACCCAGCTGGAACGCGTCAGCTTCCCCAAGGTCTGTCGTCGTAAATGCTTGAGTTGTCCAAAGGCACGACAGTCCCTGAAATTTCCATCGAACTTGAAATCACTTTGTACAAGCGGGAGCTCGGGAGTTTGGAGCTTGAAGTGAGGTAAATGTGTGTGTACAGAGACAAGTGGTACCGGCCTACACCACGGGGCAACTTTGAACTGGGACCACGTGAAATGTAAGTTGGGTATGACCACGCCGAGTGGTTGTGTAGAACAGGTGGCAGCAGTGTGAGTGCGGCCATGTGATTTCGAGCAGGTGAAAGCAGTGTGAGTGTGGCCACGTGGCCCTCACCTGATGCTTGTCACCTGCTCTACACGTCAAGAGAAAGACCACGTCGGCATGGTGTGGTTTACCAGCCAATCAGTGGGTGAGCTGGTTGGGACGAGCGCAACCTGCCAGCGCGAAGTGCTCAGCACGCGATTCAGCTTGTGCGCCAAAGCAAATAAGTAGGCCTCCTCAAAAAATTAAGAAGAGAATCATGCGGCTGCTGAGCCACGCTTGAAAAATTTGGCACTCTCAACAATTTCTGGGTACTTTTCTCAGTTTATTTTGCTGCATGTCAATCTCATGTCCCCCGAGATTGGTTCATTTGTTATCTCTTCAGATGTCTACAGGAAATTTCATACTTAAATTGCTTATGATTATCTTATAAGTTTATGAAAAAAACATAATGGATGTCCTCTACATTGAAATTGAATTTAACTGTCCTAATCATGTTATACATTCCTTTTTTGAAAAATACTATATCATCCCTATGTATTACACTACCAAACAAAAAGAAAGAACAGATTAGTTGCTTGTACTGCATAGAGGTATATGAAGCATAAGATAAAAGTCAACAAAAGAACAAAAGACAAACTCATGGTTTTGAAGCTTGGAAATGGGCGATCAATACAACAACACACTCAAGCAATAAATGAAGCTGAACGGTAGAAGATGAGTTGGAGACTTAGGAAGACAAGTACTCACGTATGATAAACTGGCAATAGTACCTTTGAAATCTTCGAAATGGACCAATCAACATGACTAACTATTGACAAACAAGATCAAGTCAAGAAGATGAAATGACAAGGAGGAAGAACGAACTCACTAGATGGGGCTAGCTCAACATGTGGAAAAGTTGGATATGATCAAGAGTCCACAAAGCAACTTACCGTGTCACAAAACTTGACCTCTGCCAAACGTAGCCTGCTTTTGAAACTCTGAAGACCGCTTTGTGAAGTTTGCTGGTGGAAATGTCACAGCTTGGTGTCATTTTCAAACCAGGTGTTGGGTAAGGTTTTTGCGCGCTCCATGTATAAACATATATGTGATGTCAAGTGTGACGTCACAGGTAAATGTCACAGGTCTCACCGCTACATATGTAACAACTTCCCTGGTGCACTTTCCCGTTCTACTATCTTCATCAAGTTAGTGTTCACCGTCATCACATCAATCATCTCTAGAGCAGATCATCCGGTCATGTTTCATTCATCCTCATTCTGAATGTTCAAGTGAAAGCCCTTTTATCGCTCATTTTATTTCTCTTTGTAAGTCTTTGCCCTCTTGATCTCATTCCAATCGGCTCAAAGTTTTAATTGTATAATGATTGATATTGTTTGTCTTGTCCATATCAAAGTCCTTTGTTCGATCGCTCCATTTTTAAGCCCTATTTCATTATCTTCACCTTTCTTCTCTACACCTCATTCGCATTGTCCTACAGATTGATGCCATTCTCTTCATTGTTTCTGTTTGGATTGTTGATATTGAAGTCTAGGTTGATTATCTTGAGTTGAAGACTGGATTTTCAATAGTTTTCCATTCTTTTCTTGTTTGTTTATTTTTGTTCTTGTTTGCTGATCATGATTGGTCTCTTCTCTTTTTTCCTCATTGTTCTAATAGCTCCATACACTTAGATCGATCTGATAGGTTGTAAGTCTTGCATCATCTCAATCAGCTCTTCTGACTCTCATTGATCATGGATTCATTGATTGATTGCTTGATGAACATTTCTTACAGGAACAATCAATCAAATTAAAATATTCAGTACACAACCAAACCATTGAACATTTCCATCAAAGGCTCATTTTTGTTTCATGTTGATCATCTCCTTGTCTTTTTTCTCATCTTTTTTTCTTGTGTTTTTCTCAATATCATTTCCCTTGGTTGTGTAATTATCATCTGTATTTCTTGTCAATGCAAACAAAAGATTAGTTGCAGTCTTCAACCTCATCCCGTGAGCCAAAAACCAAAACATCCCAGCTTGATTCGAGGGTGTGGCTACATATCAGCTTATGATGAGGCCGGAAGACCCCTACAATGAGCCATTGCTCACCAGCTTCATCCTTGCTTACACTACAAGAGTACGAGCTATCTCGCCTGGTTGCCACAAAGTCTGACTGGCACTCTCAACAAGGTGAGTCATCTCACCTTATCATTGTGTGAGCCTTCTCACATCATAACAAGGTGAGATGACTCGCTCAATGATCAGGTGAGCCATCACACTGTAGCTACGTGATCAGATCCAGGTGAAGCCCACGCTGGCTTGCATGTGTAACTCACGTCGGGTATGACGATGTAGACAGCACACAGAGTCAAATCCCACGTGAGCGTCACGTACCACCAGCCCCGTGGTGTAGATACCAATACCGATTCAGAGACCAGAATCTCAGATGGCATGCTAAAAATACTCTCTAGGAATGGCATTCTTTTGGAGTCTATGGAGCAATTACAATCATCGAATGGGAAGAACAAATCCATTACCTTATTGGGTCTTAGATAGCGCTAGGCTTTGGGTTAGGTAGCTTCCATCTGGAAGCTTTAAGAAGGTCAAAAATAGTGTTTTATTATATTGCATGTATTGTAATAAAACATTCCATAATTTGAAAACAAATAATCGACTTTTTAACAAAGATGTACGCGTAGTCAATAGACCACGTGTGTGGGGGGAGGTTTCTCTAAGATATCTTCTCTAGGACAAAACTCAGGTAGGGGGTAGCCAGGCCTCGAAAAGTCTCTGGGTGAGGTGGTTTTCGACGTGACTGAGTACCACCGAAGGATCCGGATCAAGGAGAGATGGATCTAGAGCTTCCTAGAAGAAAGATACGAATGAGTTAGAGGTACCAACATCAGAGTGCATCGCAGACGACGGGGACTTAAGCACAGAAGGGGGGTTAGCGCTTAGCCCAACACTCAGTGTTTTCGCAAAAGCCTGAGCCTCGCGCGAACCCCCGTACTGTGTGAAAAGACACTGATGAAGGATGTACCTCCGGTACCCTACAATGTTAATTGTCTAGCTAATTATTGATTGATCAGAGCTATTATAGAAGTTGCACGGCGCAGATCCTCGCCGGTGTACTCTCGAAGATAAATCAGATAGCAATCCAAGGTCCAACGGCCTAGACGTTGGATATCTGGATGGCCTACGCCGAGTGCGTTCCGCAAAGAGGCTCCTCCAACACGAAACGAGTGGCCTGATAAAGAAGTCAGGCCCTCAGCGTCCCAGACTTGCTTACACCAACGAATGACTGCTGTCCTTGTCAAGTTGACGCGGATATTGCCGTCCAAGTAGCCAAAGAGGGAACCGCTTGGTTCCAGAGCTGAAGCTAAACACCTTTCTATAGCTCTGACCGGGCATAGCATATTAGGCTGGGCATTCAATAAGATTGGCTGCGGGTGGCCAGCTTTTGCTGTCTTCGCGCCCCGTACTGCCAACGTAAGTGACCCAGGCGTTGCAGGGGAACGGAGGACATCAGTGCAGAGAACCGAGTTAATCCACGCAGGTTTTGTTGAAAGCCAATCAAGACTGAGGCTTAAGTCATGGTAGCTATGTTATGGAAACTGGAATTAGTATTAAGTACAAAACAGAGTATGTATTCAAACAATGCTGAGCATTGTCTCTCGTCTGAGACGATCAAGAAAGCTGCGTGTTATTGTAACGCACATCAATCCCAACCAACTTTGTAGAACTTCGTCTCTTATCTTGAATTCATTTGTTTGATGTCTTATATACTACTCATGTATCCCATCTTCGATTTTGTCTCTCTTTCCTCATCTTTGGGAAAGAGAGTAAGTGTTTTGTTATCTCTATCATCTTTCTCTTTACTAATAATTTGTTCTTGGTAGAAATCTCCTTAGATCACTTGTGCCTTGAGCTTTACAAAGCTTTATCTTAAATCTCACATTTTACTTTTTCATTTCCTCCGTAAAACTTAGGTACATCTATTTCACATTCTCTTTTCTCTACCGCTTAGTCTAGTTATTTATTTCTATCTTTGTTATGTTCAGGTTAGTCTCAGGTCTGCATACCTGTAGTATTGGAGAAGGG